CTACATTAAGAAAAAGAAAGGTAAAAATTATATCATCATCTCAATAGATGCTGAAAAAGTACTTGACAAAATTCAACATCCATTCATAAAAACTCTCAACAAAATAGGTATAGAGGGAACATACTTCAACATAATAAAGGCCATATGTGACAGACCCACATCCAATATCATAGTCAGTAGCAAAAAGCTGAAAGCTAAGATCACAAACAAGACAAGGATGCCCACTCTCCCCACTTTTATTCATCATAGTACTGGAGGTCATAGCCATGGCAATCAGACAACACAAAGAGGTAAGAGGCATCCAGACTGGTAAGGAAGAAGTTAAACTCTCACTATTTACAGATGACATGATATTGTACATCGAAAACCTGAAAGAATCCACCAAAAAACTACTAGAATTACTGAATTCAGCAAAGTTTCAGGATATAAAATTAAGACAGAGAAATCTGATGCATGCCTATATACTAACAATGAACTAGCAGAAAATCAGGAAAACAACTCTATTTACAATTATATCAAAAATAATAAAATACCTAGGAATAAACCTAACCAAGAAGGTGAAAGATCTATACTCTGAAAAGTACAGAACACTCATGAGAGAAATTAAAGAAGACACCAATAAATTGAAATCTAGCCTGTGCTCATGGATGGAAGAATTCATATTGCCAAAATGCCCATCCTGCCCAAAGCAATATGGATTCAAGGCAATCCCAATCAAAACACCCATGGTATTTTTCAATGAACCAGTGCAAATAATCTTAAAATTTATATGGAACCACAAAAGACAAAATAGCCAAAGCAATCTTGAGAAAGAAGAACGAAGCTGGGGTATCATGCTCTCTGACTTCAGGCTATAGTACAAAGCTACAGTGATTAAAACAGTATGGTACTAGCACAATGACAGACCCATAGATCAATGGAACAGAATAGAAAGCCACATAAATATGGTCAATTAACAGATGACAAAGAAGCCATTAATATACAATAGACAAAAGACAGTCTCTTCAATAACTGGTGTTGGGAAAACTGGACAGCTACATGCAAGAGAATGAAACTGGATTCTAACTCCAAACACAAAAGTAAACTCAAAGTGGATTAAAGGCCTAAATGTAAGATATGAAACCATGAAACTCTTAGGAAAAACATAGGCAAGAATCTCATGAACATAAGCATGAGAAATTTCTTTCTGGATGTTTCTGCCTGGGCAAGGGCAACAAAAGCCAAAATAAACAAGTGGGACTGTATCAAATACAAACCTTCTGCACAGCAAAGGACACCCTCAACAAAACAAATAGGCACCTACAGTATATAGGAGAATATATTTGCAAATGATGTATCTGGTAAGAGGCTAATATCCAAAATATATAAAGAATTCATACAACTCAACACCAAAAAAAATAATTCAATTAAAAATGGGCAGAGGACCTGAACATTTTTCCAAAGGAGACATACAGATGGCCAGCAAACACATGAAAAGATGCTCCACATCACTAATCATCAGGGAAATGCTGATCAAAACCACAGTGAGATGTCATGTCACCTCACACCAGTCAGAATGGCTCCTATCCCAAAAACAAGAAACAAGCATTGGCAAAGATGTGAAGGAAAGGGAACCCTCCTGCACTGTTGGTGGGAATGTAAAATGGTCCAGCCTCTGTGGAGAAAAATATGGAAGTTCCTCAAGAAACTAAAAATAGAAATATGACACAGCAATCCCACTTTGGAGAATTTACCCAAAGAAAACAAAATCACTATTGTAAAAAAATGTGTATGCGCACTATGTTCATTGCAGCATTATTTACAATAGTAAAGACATGGAAGCAACCGAAGTGTTCACTGATAGATGAATGGATGGAGAAGCAGCACATATACACAATGGGCTATTACTCAGCCACAAAAAAGAAGGAAATCTTGCCATTTGGAACAACATGGATGAACCTAGAGGGTATCATGCTAAGTGAAATAAGCCAGGAAGAGAGAGACAAATACCCTATAATTTAACTTATATGTGGAATCTAAAAAACAAAACAAACAAAAAAGAAATAGACCCACAAATCCAGACAACAGATTATCAGTGACCATAAGGAAAGGTCAGGGAGATGGGTGAAATAAATGAAGGGGATAAAGATACACAAACTGCCAATTGTAAAATAAGTCCTAGGAATGAAAGCGTAACAGAGAGAATATGACAAGTAATAGTGTAAAATCTTGGTAGGTAATGGGGTAACTACACTTACCGTGCTGAGCATCTAGTAATATAATAATTGCCAAGTCACTATGTTGTACATCTGAAACCAATATTGTATATCAACTTTACTCCAATAAAAATAAATTTAAAAAAACAATTCCTCAAAAACATGAGAAAAGTACTCCAGATTAGTATAAAAGTCAACACTATAATCAAACAGTTTACTGTTAAGGCCTAACGCTCTTTCATGGATGGATATGAGAGCTCTGAGCTTGGGAGCACAGGTGAGCACCTTCCCTTCCTACACAAAGGAGCCGGTGACACGGATGCACCACCAACAGCTCCCCAGCACACACGCGACTAAGACACATGCTTCTCCTGTGGTTCTCCAGCCATGGGGGCCTCCTAGATGTGGACACACTCAGGTCAGGGCTTCCCAGAAGGACAGCATCCACCCTAAAAGGAGGGCACATCCCCTGGGACCCAGAAGACCAGGTCCCGCTTTCCTGCTGCACAAGACTGCCTTCTTGCCCCCAGCCCCCACCCGTGCTGGCAAAAGTCCTTGGGAACCGCCTACGACAGGGTCTCTAGGAAGGAAATCATTTATGGGCAAACCAAGTTAACCAAAAGCTTAACCACCGTTTTCAACCCTAGGCCTTCTCTGGAGCATTGCACGTGCTCATCTGCACAGACTCCCCAAGGCAGAGAGGACAGGCAGCGCCGCCCAAATGCGCCTGCCACGGGAATTTCCGCTAAGGGGCAGAACTCAGTTTGGGCTGCAGGGGTCTATCTTGATGATCTGAACTTCACTCTAAGCTGCTGAACCTGTTGATCCCTGCAGTTTCAGGAAATATCACAGTGGGAAGTGAGGGGAGGGGATCATTGCTGGCAGGTGGGCCGGTCCTGCTGCTGAGCGGTCCTGCAGCTGAGCCCTGCTGCAGGCTCTCCCCACACCCCTCTCTCCAGCCCCTCCCCTGGGTCTCTCTCCTGGCAGAGGACCTGGCTCTCCTTTGCTCTCACAGCACACGCAGACCGCGTCAGGCAGGAAGGGAGCCAACCCAGCTCACACTCAGTGAGGCACGTTGCCACTCAACGCCGTCATCCTTGGGGGTCTCTGGGTCCTGTCCTTGAGTCACAGGACTTGCTTTAATACTGTCTCCTGACAACTTGGACTGAGTCATCAGCCCTCCCCGGCATGGAGAAGCATCTTTAGACAGAAAGCAATCCGCCTTCCTCTCTCTGCCACCCCGTCCTGCCCCAGCAGCCTGGTCCCCTCTCCTCCCTTACCGCACCCCATTCTGACTCCCTCCGAGGATGCCAGGCTTCTGCTCTGACCCTCTCTTCCCTCCCACCACACGTCAACTCACCCCACACCTCAAATACAATGGGAATTAAACACGCCACCGTGGAAACTTATGGTATGTTTACTGTACACAACAGTCATGGAAATCATATTTGTTACACTAAGATTTTATCTGTGTTTAAAATTTGTGTCAGATAATGCATCTATGACTCAGAAAAAACAATAATATATCAATTACAATAATCAATGTTGGAGAGGGTGATAATTTGAAATAAAAGTAACTGCCTAATATGTTTTAATTTACTTACTCCTATAAAAATTCTTAGATTTGTGATAAAAATAAACTGTTACTTTCAGCTTTAGAAGGAAACAAATCTTTTGGTCATTTTTTTTCATGCCAAGGAAAAGAATAAATAATATTACTAACAATTCAGAAAATACACAGGACACCTGGGGAAAGCACTCTAAACACCAAAAGGAAGTAGAAAGGTGGTCATATTGAGGCACGGTCCGCGATATTATTACGTCTGTCACAGGAAAGAGAATAGAAGAAGTGAGAACTAAAGGGATGAAACTGAGAGTGACTGATGTGGAAGGAGGGACAGGAAGTCTCAGTGGTCATGCAGGCCTGGGACCTCATCTATTTAAAAGGAAAAAAATGAGACTCAAATGCTAATGCTGACCTTTCACAAGCTATGAATTCTTTTCTCAAAAACTAACTATGGGGATGTACTTGTGTGCAGCCGTGCAGTCAGCACTTACCTTTCTCAGCCTCCTGCCCAGGCCCCTGGCTCTTCTGTCCAGGCTCCAGCCGGTGGACCTTGATGTCAGGACCCACACCCTCCCATACCCGCTGCCCCCCACCCACTGCCCCCCACTTCCCCTGGGCCTCCCATGCTACTCCACTCCTCAGCGAAGCCGCAAGAAGGGATGGAGGGCCCACTGCGTGCCCGGCCAGGATCAGACACTCACATGCATCACCACCTCTGCCCAAACAGCCTGATGGCAACACCCACCCCCACCCCACGGACAAGGAGACTGAGGCCCAAGGCCAGAAAGCGAGGAAGGGCAGGCCCCTGATCCCCAAGCACGCTGTCTGATGTACCATTCGCCCCATCCTTCCATCTGTCCAGAATGACTCCTAAGGGCCTCCTACCCACCAGCAGGACCTGGGCTAGGAACCAGCACAACTACAGTGAGCAAAGCAGGTGTGTCCCCTTCCGTACGGAGCTTACAGCTTAGTGGGGCAAAGGGCAGCAGTCAGATAATGACAAAGCTGAAGACGGGATCACACACTGTGACTGTTAATGGTCCCAGTAACAGAAGCCCCTGTGGGAAAAGAGGCAGCTGGAAAATGCCTGATATAAGACCTGAAGGATGAGCGGCAGCTCGCGGAAGGGGCGGAGGACCCTCTGGGGGCAGGGGAAGGCTGGGGCCGCAGGCAGGCAGGGGCCGGGGAAGCAGAATTAGGAAGGTGGTGCACACAGCTGCGCGATTCCCACTGCCCACCTGGTCCTTGGGCTCCTCCACCTGCACGTGCTTGTCCTCTTTAACTTCCGGTGCTTCTTGAGTTTCCACATTAGGGGTCTGGGCTTGATACACATCACCTTCTGGCAAAAGCAAAACAAACAGGATTTTCAGACCAGGGCCCATGACACAAACCGGTCACAGCTTCCTGGGACAGCGTCACACAGCCTGCCCAGGACCTGGGCCCGTCGCCGCCTCACCTGTTCCCCCAGCGCCCTTGCTCTTTCTTGCATCTGCCCCAGTGCAGGGTGCAGTAGCCTTGAGTCTACACTGTCTGTGCACGTGCTTGTCCACAGAGGTCCTGGGCCTAGGATGGGGGGTGGTCATCACTGCGCCCCACCCACCATGGGCTCCATCCCAGAGGCCAGAGTGAACACTTCACCAGCATGTGTCCAGTTAGTTCGGTTAGAAAGAAACGCAGACCAACCCACCAGATATCAAAATCAGATTTTAAGGATATGCAGCTTTATTACTGCAAAATGAATTCAAGAACTGGGTTTGGACAACATAAGTCTTAACAAACTAGGTGGTAAAGTTGTGCATTATGAGGTGCTCAACTTAGACAAAAATCATCTTAACTGTCTTGCCAGTGGGTTTCAGCCTTAGGCAAGTTCAGTATGGATTCAATGAGACCAAAGAATGACAATGGAACACTGTTGGGGTGAAAGGGTCATACCCAACTTTATTTCCCACAGTGGCAGGTCAGTCACTAGAATCCCATTCACTCAGAGAGTCTGCCTGCAGCAAGCCCGTCCCTGCCTCTGGGCCCCTCTGCCCCCACAGCCGTCTCAGTCTCTGTCCTCGTGCTGCCACCACTCCAGCCTCATCTCTGCTCCTGCAGCTGTGCCACCGTGTCGCCCAGAGCACTGGGCAGGGCTCTTTGCATAGAGTCAATAGGAAGGTATTGCCCACACATGTGCAGTGAGAAAGCCAACCAGGACCAGGGGAGAATCCTGGCCACAGGAACCCTCACTTCACCCCCACCCCACCCCTCCAGGACTCTCGCCTCTCCGTCTATGTGCCCTCAATCCTCTGCAGTGGTCCCGGTGCGAGGCAGCTGGGACACTGTAACCAAATTCCATAACAACAGAGGCTATGACAATATACAAAAAACAAAAATGACAACAAATTATAATAACCCTCAAGCCTGAGGAGATCCACTGCCACCAAGTGGTCATCCCGGCTGTATTCAAACCAGTCCTCCTCAGATGAGTTAACCAGGAGGACCACGGGTGGGCCCCTCAATGCCCACCTGCTCCAGTCCCTCCAGCAGAAAGTCCTGCAGACCCACAGGCCCGTCTGTTGCTTTGTCTCTGGCTTCTGCTGCATCCTCAGCGGCCGGAACCGCTGCTCCAGTCTAGTTTTTGCCGCAGCTCCAGTAAGAATCTATTGGACTTTTCGTCTAATTTCTCTCTGTCGGCTCCTGCCTTGATCACATCAGCCCACACCTGGGTCCTCGTGACCTTCACGGGGCCCTTTAAATTCTTCCTTCGAGAAGCAGACCGTATTTCCTTTTGTGCTTCCATTGCTTGAGCCTGAGGGCAGGAGCAGAGCACAGGGGGCTCCCCGACCCGAGGAGGGGGTGCACCCCTCCTGGAGGAACCCACGGAGGCCGGTCCTTCGGGCTCTTCACCAGCCTTCCACTGGGTAGGGTCTCCACCGAGGAGGGGCTGATGCCTCCGCCCGGCAGGGCCTCCACCCCACCTGCTGCTCAGACCTCCGCGCCTCCATCTCTGGGGCTGACGGCCCCCCTGCATCTTCCCCTGCCCCCCATGGCCCCTGGCGGCCTGCGCTCTCGGGCTGCTGCTTCCCGGGCCACCGCTCCTTCCCGTGCTTCCTCTCGGGCTGCCACATCCCTTACCGTTTCCACAGCACCTAGTGGCGCCATTCCAGTCACCAACAAGCTTTTCACCTCCTCAGCGGCACCTCGCAGCTCACTTTCTCGTGCTGTCCCTTCTCATGCCTCCTGCAGGAGGGCATCCTTCTCCCTTACGGCCTTTCTCAGTATCGGGAGAAGAGAGCTCCCCACCACTCAGGCTGCCTCACGGGCACCCTGTTCCTCTAAGGGATTCCCTATGTTGCTGAGGGCCAACCAGGCCTGTAGGAGTCAAACCACGTCCACTGGGGGACACTCGAAGGTCTCCCCATCGGTAGGGGCAGCCTGCTGAAAGACCCCTCCCATGAGGTAGCCTGTTCTTTTCCTTGGTCAACAATGAATCCTGCCGACTGTCGCCAATTGTCATGCCAATGGGTTTCAGCCCCGGGCAAGTTCACTATGGATTCAGTGAGACTGAAGAATGACAATAGAATGTTCTTGGGGTGAAAGAACTTATACCAAACTTTATTCCCATGGTGGCAGGTCAGTCACTAGAATCCCATTCACTCAAGAGTGAGTCTGCACGCAGCAAGCTGGTCTCTGCCCCTGGGCCCCTCTGCCCGCACAGCTGTCCCAGTCTCTGTCCTCGGCACTGCCACCACTCCAGCCCCTGCTCTGCTCTCCTGCAGCCCTGCAGCCGTGCCACCATGCAGCCCAGAGCACTGGGCGGAGCTCTTACATAGGGTCAATAACAATACGTGCCCACATGTGTGCAGTGAGCCAGCCGACGGGAACCAGGGGAGGATCCTGGCCACAGGAACCCTCACTTTAGCCACACTAGCACCGCAGGTAGATGTATTAATTGTTTATAAAATCCTAAAGATTCCTGTAGAGTTGGTCCTCAACCTGACCTAAACCTCAGGTGACGCAGACGGAGGCTAAGGAGGCCAGCGGGCCATTCAGCACCCACGCAGCAGGGCCGTGACCACTGATGAGCGGTCCAGGACGGGAGCCTGTTGCACGGCTCCTCCGAGCGCCCTGGCCCCCCACCCCCACCGGGCCCGCTCCCGTCCTTCGCCCACCCTCCTGGTCCTCATCCCCCAAGTGTAGGCTAGGGGGGGCCCTGCTCTCCCTGGTGACAGGAGGGAGGGTAAGAGAAGGCTGGGGAAGGCCGCGTTCCTCAGGGACCCGCTGTGTCCGGGCCCTCTGCCCACACCTGATGATACCAGGGCAATCCTCGGCCAAGCCTGTGGTGCCCGTTGGCAGTCAGGACCTGGCCCACAGCCACAAGGCCACAGGTGGACTCGGAACCCCACCTCACCAGCTGCTTCCCCGAGGGAAGCCCCGGGACGGGCCCCGTACAAGCTACTCGTGTGGATGTCACACCAAGGAGGGGGCCTGAGCCGGTGACCAGAGCTCATTACGGACACAGGGCTGACCCAGGGGCTGGAGGCCCAGTGGCCCGGGACTCCGGAGGGCGGGCACAGGCGCCCCGTGGGAACCGGGACCGAGCAAGAAGCGCCGGAGAGGCGCCCACCCGCCGCCCAGCACAGCCGGAGCAGGAAGACGCTGAGGAGCAGCCCGAGAGCCGGGCACGGAGGGCAAAGCGCGGCACGGCGGGCGGTCATGAGGCCGAGGGGTCGGAAGCCTTGAGAAAAGCGACCCCAGCTAAGGGCACGGCGGCCCTCGTCCTGCCCCCGCCGCTCCCTCGGCGCCCGGGTGGCCCCATCGCGTGGGACCCGCTGCACCAGGAAGCGCCTTGCTCGGCACTCAGCAGGGGGCGGGCGGGAGGGCAGGAGGTGGCGCTGGGGCAGTGCAGTAGCTCCGAGGTCGAGGGCTGGAAATGTCTCCTATGCAAAAAGCGAACCCCAGCCCCCAGGAGGCCCCCTTATCACGCTTCCTGCAGAAGGTCGGTGCGTCTGAGTTGCTTCCTGTGTCCTTGGTCCTGGGGGACACACACAGCCCGCTCCACGTGCACGCGGCAATAATGATGTCCAGACACTGTGTTCATCGGGAGGGCTCCCCAGGGTGTCGCCGCGGCCCGCAGCCCGGCGGGTTTGCTTTAAAAATCTCCCCCCACCCCCCACCCCCGCCTACAGGCCGCACGTTTCATTCATAAACCAGTCACCAGCTATTTCCCCAAAGGAAACTGGCCCAGAGAAGGCACACTCTTCCCGGGCAGCGCCTGGCATTGCCCCTGCACAGCGGGATTTCACGTACCTGCACCGCTTTGAATGAAAGATTCCACCATAGTGTTCTTTTTTCCTTCTTTGGCGTAAAAAACAGAATCCTGTGCTTTAGGTGGAACGCTGTCACATCTGTGGGGTCCTTTCCCTTGGGAGCCCTCCTAGGGTGCACATTAGGAATAAAAAGAACGTGAGCCGTGGACATGGGGCTCCCCAGCTGCGTTGGGACCCACCAGAGAAAGCTCTCGGCTGCCGGGGTGAATCGGGGGCTGGACCTTGAAGAGGCCCCTCTCCTAGCACCATGCAGACCGCTCCATTCCCTAGACTGCTCTTCTGTAAACTGGCCAAAAATGCCTCCCACTCACCCTCCTGGGGACACTGGGCAGCCCCTCACCAGGAAGGGGGGCCGTCCCCCCAGCTGTAGGTGGCGTGCCGACTGGGCCAGAGGGTCTGAGAGGCCCATGTGGCTTCAGAGCCACTCCTCAAAGCCTAATGAACACTGCTGCTTCGCCAGGGCCTGGAGAGCCACTCCTGCGAGGCCCCCGAGCAAGGTGGGGTCTCCAATAAAACATCAAACGTGTGGCAGGTTTGTGGGGAACTCCAATTTCTGAAAAAAATCTATTGTAAACATCTAACAGTAACAAAGCCTAACTTGATCACAGTGTGAGATGAACTGATTCCAGGCCCCAGCCCTGTCCCAGTCCATAAACTATCTTTACGATATAAACTGCCTTTTCTCATTTTCCTTTTTCTACCTTTTCTGCAGTATTTGGAAGTGAATACAGGCAGAATTGCACAAATAGATATTTCCCTTGAGCCCCTATGTCACTTGAGAAAATGTCACGCTAAAAACACCCACCTTGTGACATTAATACATTGTATAAAATGCAAACTACCAGGCTTGAGGAAATGAAAGTGTGAAAATACTCCTTCAAGTGTATACAAGAACTGAGCAAAATCTTTCTACCTATTTTCAGTGGCTTTCCTGGACGTCAAGCTCATGATCCTAAGTGGAGGAAACAAGATCTCAGCAGAACTGGTTGTAGAAACAGGAAATGGCCTGTGGTGCCATGTTCAGGGGCAGCAGGGATTGGGGTCCTGAAAACCTAGTTCATTCTTGGCATCGTTCACGTGTATTCATCACATCACGTTCCATGGCTTCAGCCTCCTCACTACCTCTGAAGTCACACTCAAAGGACAGTGACAGAGGAATACGGCCCCCCCGTGAGGACAGCAAGCAGCCGTGACACAGAGCAGAGCGCCCTGGGAGAGCCAGGCCCTGCCCGGCGCCCCTTCACCCACTCCTGCCCAACCTGGAATGTCCAGAAAACAGAAAACCTTCCAGGGCAGCAGGATGGCATAGTGTCACTAAGGCAATTTATTGTTTAATCTTGTACCCTGCTTCATGCACAATGAAATGCAAGTTTTGAAAGCACCTTATTTCTATAAAATTCCACGAAACCTTCAAGGCCTCCTGGCTCACTTTTTCTAAACTACGCAGAAGTGGGTCACACACATCATCACGCACCTTTTCCTCTGAGCACCTTAGTACTTAATACCAAAGACGCACCGTCTATCAATCATTTGGAGTGTGTTCCCTAACAGAGGTAACCTCTGCACAGTCACGGGAAAGTTACCAAATTCAAGAAATCGGCCTTGATGTATTTCTCGCTGACCCACCATTCACACTCCAGTTTGTCGCCGTGCAGTGTCCTTTGTGGGATTTTCCTGCTGGTAAAGGCCCAGCCCAGGATCACATGGCTTTAGGAGGCATTTGGAGGGAGACTGAGGTGGGCTCTGTGTGATGGTCTGTGCAATCAGACGGGGCTTACGGTCCTGGCTGGACCCTACATGGCCATGTCCCTCCTCAGGTCCTCTGCGGTGAGGTGGGCCACCCAACCAAGGGGCTATGGCTTCTCCAAGGGGAGGGCTTCCTGCTCCTTCCAGCCAACATTGTTGGCAGGACGTGCAAATTTCTGGTTCCCTACCAAATTTCCATACACCATTTTCACCCATATCCACGCATGAGTCTCTTCTCAATCCCCTTAAAAAGAAAGCCAATAATGACTCCCATGTAAGTGGATAATCCTAACTCTTGAAACAGAAAATTGCAATATAAATGGGAAATTACAGAAAGAAAGCAACAAAATATTCACAAAATTCCACTTAAACAAGCAAGCCCCTGAAAAATACACTGAGACTTTATAATTTGCATGGCTAGAGCCCCACACTATGCGACTGGCCCAGTGTGTGCGCCTGTCACACGTGTGTCACAAGAACTGGAAACTGACCCCAAAGGCATAAGGGTGCAGCCAGGACCCAGGCTTTGTCAAAGGAGGTGCCCCTCCAGCAGAGGACGGGCTCGACCTGGGCCTGGTGTGCCCTCCCCATGGCCCGCCACCCAGCCCGCGCGAGGAGCCACTGCACGTCTGTCCCTGCACCCTCGAGATGACATGGGGGTGATGATGGCGCCCTCCCGGGGTCCTGCTGAGGTCTGCAGCCTTCTCACCCTTCGGTGTAGAAGCCACACTGGTGCACGGAGCTCTCTGCGAAGCATCGGGACCGAAGCCAGAGCCAATGGCTTGGATCTTGAACTATGGAAAGTAGGGATGGCGGGGGTCCAGGCAGCAATGGACGGCGGGGTCCTGGGATGGGTTTCCCTCCAGAATGCAGGCCAGACTCGCAGCACGGCACACAGGGCCTCCACTGTCAGCCGTCTGCCTTCCCACCCCTGGGGGCGGCCCACCCCACGGCCTGCCAGCACCCCAAAGCCACTCCCTCCAGAAGAGCCCTCTCCTCTGTGCACACCCACAGACCCCAGCCCCAATGTCACCTGTCCCCCCTCCGGGCCCCAGCCCACTTCATACACAGCTCATGCTGTATGTGGCTCCACGCCTGTTTTCAATACCCACACACACACACTCACACCTTAAACTTACCCATGCTTTACTTCCTGACGTTACCGTTTACTACCCACATTTGTGCTCTAGACCCTGAAGAAAAGTAGGTAATACTAGCATTCTGATAGAAATACAATGCTTATTAACTATTTACTGATATTTTACAGAGGCTTATACCCCAAAATATTCACTTTAATGTGTGAATGCAATTTCAAGCATTCGTTACATTAGCCTTACTTCTTTGGGAGGTAATAGATACAAAATCAGAGTAACTGCAATTGTGGTACAACTGAATTTGATATAACAAAATAAGGGTAGGTCCATCCAATTATTGTCATTGGACTGAAAAAGTCACGGCTCAAGTTACTCTGCTACATAAGGCTCTGGCACCTCCTAATGACATACTTCCAAAGTCCAAACATTTGAATCAAGCAATAAGTGAACTGAGCCAATCAAATAATGCAGACTGTTCTCAAAGTTTATTTCAAAGTGTACTAATCAGTAAAATGCACTGATATGACTTCTTTGCCATTTTCTTGGGAAGTGGGCACTTTCAATGATGCAACTTAAAGTTTTGCTAAATAAAGATAAATGGAAACCTAGATATACAATGACAACAACTCTGCTCTTTGGTTTTCTTAAATACTGTACATAGAGTGTCTATAATGGCTTAAATTAGAATCATATGTTGTTGGAATAAGTCTAATGACAGACATCCAGGGAAAATCATAGGAAGCAAAAGGGGGAGAGAACCAGCTTTCATTAACCAAGACCGTGAGGAGTCAGTAACAGCAAGTTGCACAGCTAAGTACTGCCAGGATTCCAGCAAAAGATGCCAGAGTCCAGAATGCCTACTCTCACAATGTTACAGCTTTCCCCTGGTGGTGGTAATTATTTTGCTAAGAAAAAAAACCTGTTATGAGATGCAGTCAAGATTTCACCCTTTTTATAGGCATCCACTTAGATCCAGAGAAGGTTCATAGTTTCATCATTAAAGAATCCACAGTGATAATCCCAGACAAATATGGGAGCAGACTTGTCCTCTACTATGTTGGGTGGAATTCTATTTGACATTAAAAGTAGTTTTCTGTATATCATCTCTCACTTCTCCCTTCCCTCACATTTGATGAATGTACCCATCTAGAGCAAAGCAGCTACCCACCCATATGCACATCCCAAAATCTTCCTCCTGCAGCCCAGCTCTCGGCTCCTGGCCCACCACCTGTCAGCTGACCTCACAGGGAAACCTGGAGTCATCCCTGACCTCTCTTGTTCACACACTGCACAGCCATCCAGACACGCCTATGCTCCCTCCCATTATTTTCCTTCCCATTTCATCAAACCAAGATGCCGTGAATTCTAAGACATGTGGTTTTCTTATGTGTCACTAAGGAAAGTGCCACTTAAACCCCATTACATTGTTTCCTTATTACCTAAAGTTCTGTTTGGTACATACTGGAAAAGCCCTTTTAGAACTATTTGGACATGGATTTTTATCACATAGTGCACCTACACATAAAGAGGAGACTGTGACAGAAATAAATAGCTTGAATGCTCCCAAGATTTTACATCCAGAGTCTGGCTCTTCTGAACCATTTCTGCCTCAGAGACAAAGACATCTGTGCTTCTCCAAGCAGTACGGACAGAGTGCTCCACCATTGTTTCTGGAGTTTTCTTCCAAGCTGCCTTGTATATGTGGAAGGTGGCACTTTCCTGTCTGGAACATGGGAGGCAGCCCTTCTGCACCTGCCTCAGTAACAGTGTGGTGGACTGCTCTCTGGCCACAAAGCCCCCGTCAGGGTGAGCACAAGGTGCACAGAATGAATGCAGCTTTGCCGCACTCCTCCCCTAGGGAAAGTCTAGTTCTCATCTCCTGGGAGCCGGCAGCCACGTGAACAACCACAGCGCCCACTAGCAGACGGGTGAGTAAGGCCGGCCTGGATGGTCCAGCACGATGCTCACCCCAACTGAGTGCTGCCTCACTGATACCTGGGGACACTGGCCCCAGGCCCACCAGCCAACCCACAGGGTTTAGGGGAATAACAACTCACTGTTGCTTGAATCCCTTAGGTTTGGGGGGTGGCTTGTTACCCCGTAATAAATCACTGCGGCTGACAGCCTCAAGTACGTGTGGGCACCCTCCCTTCCTACGGCCCGTGAAAGAGTTGCTGTTTTGCAAAAATATATGGGATTGAAGAATATACTCAGCTAAGATCAAATTCATGCCCGCTGTTCTATCCTTATGCCTTTCTGTGTATATAATAACTTTTCATTTCAGCTCTGTATCTTTGCAAAATCACTTTGAGGACATTTACACAGACATTAAGTTTGACGTGTATAGTGCGGCCATGCACATACTTCAACTGGAGGCAGTAAAATGAGCAGGTGCAGCCGGGTTCACCAGGAGAACAGACAGAATCGCAGTATGACTGCCAACAGGCGTTGGAAGGTGCCATCAACACGAGGGGCACGCACCCCTATGTCAGAGATGCAAAGTCAGGGACATGCTCTTCGAGGGTCAGTGATACTCAGCGTCTCAAATCTGACCGCTCTGCCCCACCCATGGCCCCACTCGGACACTGCAGGGGCCCCCTGGCCTCCCCTCCGCTGTTCCCCATGTTGAGGCTGTACGTTCTATTCCACCTCCAGTCGTGACTCTCCAGGGCACATTTGTCCATTTCGCTCCCTTGCTTAAATTTGGATCGCAGAGAATATAAATGTTTTCACCTGGTCGACCAGCCCCTCACGACCTGCCTTTCCAGCCTGCCCACCCACACACCCCCTTCCCACCGCAGGCAGTGTTTCCCTGACTCCGTCGGGCAGTGTGGATGGAGAGACACAGGCATGTCTGAACACTGAATAGATAAAGTGTTGCCAACCTCCTGGAACTGGGGAGGCATCGATCCTGGTGGAGTCAGGGATGGCCTCCAGGCTTGGGCTGCCACAGAGGGTGGGGTCCCATCTGCAGGTGAGGGCTGTTATGGAGACCGGCCAGTGCCCTGATGTGGGTGCCCTCCCCACCAGCAGAAGTGACCATCTCTGTCTCCAGCACAGAAGGGTTTCCTGGGCTCCCAACCGAACCAACAACTGCCCCCATTCAAGTATGACAAAGAGTCAAGAGTCTCTGCTTTGTACTCCAGGCACATTAAAAAAAAAAAAAACACTTGTAGGTTTAAAAGAAAATACTGATACTCTGCCCGCCTGACTCCCTTAGAACGTGAAGACACCAACGGTCCAAAACAGCCCCCCACATGCTGCGGGGCAGTGCCCTTTTTACAGAGGGCATTCCTGGGTTTTCAGTGCTGGTTTTTAAATTCCCTCCGCCTTCCCCAGAGGATACTGAGATGGCTCACAGACAGCAGATAAAGGGAGTTTAGTGAGTTAGAAATGCATAATCTGGAGCGGTCCCGATTATCCATTTCTAGCTTATTAAAGTTGCTGTGACTAATTACAGAAGGCCTCCTGCAGCCAATCAAAGGTGGACTCATTGCCCTCCTCAGCAATGTGCCCATTCCTCCAGGGGGGCAAAGATTTCTTTTCGCTGTTGAATTTTGAGCTTAGCCTATCATGTAGATCTTTATACAATGAACAGCAAAGAATGTAAAACACCTCGAGTGGCATTTTGATGACAAATGCAGAGACTTTACATCAGCCTTTGACAGCAGCAATGCCTTCTGTCCCCTTCTTGGACCCCCCACCCCGCGGAGTGAAACGCACCTGTGTTGCCTGCATTGCAGCCCAGCCGTGCTGCCGTCTGTCTGTCTAAAGAGCCCTAAACGCTAAACATCATGATCAACACCCACTAGCTCTCCAACGACAGATTTCCAGGAGCGAAGAGAAGGGAACACGGACAGTATGGGAACAAGCGCGACTCACACTTAAGAGCAAACAGAATGAACATTTAATAAAAGGAAAAGAAAACTATAGCCTCAGGACAGCACAGTGAAACGAGGCCAGAACGGGAGCAGGAGACGGGCTCCGGTTCAGCAGGCGCCGTCGACCACCCGTGCGCGTGGAAGCGTCCAAACCCGCCGCGGTACAGCTTTCCCGGGTGCCACGCCAGCTGAACACCGCGTTTCATGCTTCAGCGCCCGCACCACGGAAGGCGGCGGGAACCACGGAGGCCGAGCCCGGGACGCGTTCACGCGGGCCCTTTCCCTGCCTGGAGCGCCTGCCCCCTTCTCTGACGCACTCTACCCCCGGCACTTCCCTCACCCAGCTCCTCGTGTGACTTTTATTTCTACAAACCGCCATCCTGTGCATGTGACTCATCTGCACAAACTCTCCACTGTGTAGTAAGTCTGTGCGTCTGTCCACCCCACCCAGAAGGGACCCGGGCTCGGGGCAGAAGCGTGCCTGTCATGTCCGTGTTCTCAGCGATGTCACCCATTTTCTCCTTCAGTAGACACTTAATGCTAAAACGCAATCCTCAGAAAAAAGAAAATCGCAAATAGATAAAATGATCATTCAGCTCAGGAAGCCCCCACAGTAACCAGTCCACTCAGCAGAACCCTGACAACAAAAGCAAGACAAGGAGAACTTGCAAAGCAAGCGTTATGGGCTAACTTCACATACTGACATGCAAAAACCCCTAGCAAAATTTAGCAAACATTCAGAAAGGTGTCTTTTAGCGGTTGAGGGCAAGCTGGTAAGGACGGGGGCTATGAATTCATTGTGAGGAGCCCCCAGGCAGCTGGTTATCATGTCGAGGTGCTTCAGGGCAAATGCAGACAAGGCTGGGGTGGGCTCGTCCAAGGCTGGACGTTGCCAGGCGAATACAGCAGTGGTTTGAGGAGGGGGGGAAGCCAAAGCTGTTTGCAACACGGCGATTAAAACAGCAGTTAGAGGACTGAGCTGCACCAGGAGAAGAGCAACCTCAAGGCTAACTGACCGATGGTGGAAAACAAGTGACTGGTACCTGGGGGTGTCGGGCCACTAGGACACTGTCGGGAGGGAACCTGAGCAGGACAGGTGACAGACAGCAGGTGCTCCCAGCGCTGCTGATAAGTACCAACGTCAGGAGAGCCATTAAAACAAGGTTTTCATAGGATGGTTGGGACATGTGGTCATCACATAAACAGGTGTTGAAGACCCTCACAGGCCCCCAAGTCTGGCTTCTACCTGCTTTGCAGCCTCCCTGTGGGCACGTCCCTGCCACTCTTGCCCTGCGAGCTGCAATGCCAGAGTGGGGTGGACACACGCAGGGCGGGCCTTCCTCCAGCTGCCACAGCAGCCTGAAGCCTCCCGGCTGCTCCCAGCCCACCCCAAGTCTCACCAGGCTCAGCTCATGGTCCCCCTACTGTCCTGTGAGACCTGTGTATATCTTTACCTTCACGTTCACTGTGTTGCATTACAGACACCTCTGGGTGCCTCCTAGTTCCGGACTCTGAGCCCCAAGTAGCCGCCCATCTCTTCTCCACCTCATGCCCAGGAGGAAGCCTGGCCCACAACACTGCCCACAAGCTCTGCAGGGCAACGTGGGCCCTCGGCCCGAGATGTGTCCTGGCTGATGGCAGAAGACACCAGCCTCACTCCCAGTGTCATCTTTCCCTGGTAAAAAGTACTCACTTTTTTCTTTCTCCGTGAGCGTTTCTCAGTGTCTGTGTATTTTCTGAAAAACAAAAGAGAGTCAGTTTGAAGCAGTTAAAGCTCAGCGAAAAAAAACCTTTTTAAAACTGAGGACTGCACGTGGGCATCAGGAGGGCACAGCCGAAAGGAAGCAGCTCACTGTGCCCAGAAGGCACGCGCTCACTGGGACATCTCTCCGCCTCGGAGTGAAGAGGCCCCACAGAAGCCTGAGGTCTTTGAAAATCCGACGGACTCCCACTGCCCCGGGTGGCAGCCTGCCCAGGGGCAGCACGTTTAGGGCCACTTCTGCCCTAAAGCTTTGATATGTCCATAAGGGAAAACTCTCATATTTCAAGGTTTTGACAGCCAGTTATCAGTATCACAAACACGGTTTCTTCGTGCAGCTCACCATACTCTGCGGAACCAGCACCTGGCCCTCCTTGTGCTGATGGGGATGCGGGGCTGGGGACGGGGACCTCCATTCCCTGCCAGCAGCTGGTCAGCGGAAGAACAGACTTCAGTCCAGTCCTGCCCTCTGCCCTCGTCATGGGGTTCTATCTAACTGCCACCTTCCCCACACACACTCCCTCTCCGCCTCCTCTTCACGGAGCCTTACTCCAGCCGGCACAGTGCACACGTGGGAACACTCTGCCACGGCCGCTCCCCAGAAGAGCCTCTGGCGGTCCGCTCCGGGTGTGGGGCGCGCCTTGTCTCCTAACCGCTCTGCAGGCTCTGCGTCCCGAGCCTGCCCCACCTCTCTGGTGAGGGAGGGAGATCTAGGCCACTGAGACGCTTGGCTCAGGCTTCCGCCCACGAGCAGATGATGGGAGAAACACAACACTGGGAGTCAGGGGAGCCCTTGGGGCCTGGGGTGCAGAAGAGAGAACCCCTCAACTCAGCTCGACAGCCCGCACGCATTCCTGCCCACTGTGCCATCAGGATGCCCCACATGAATTAGTGAGTCCATAAAGCCAGGATATATCCAAGCTTGCCATGCACACAGGCAGGACCCTCACCCAGCCATCCACTGACTTCACGCTGCTATGGGACCACCCATCCACAGACAGGACTGAGGAGCCATTCTGCGGCTTAAGGTAGAAAACCTAACAACAGAGGGGCCTAGACAGGCACCGGGTCTGCCACGGACAAGGTTCCCAGTGTGTCTCAAGTTCCCCAAATGCACACGGCTCATGCAAGGGAACCAGGGGAGTAGACGGGGGTGAAGCCCCTGCACAACCTGAACGTCTGCCTGTCCCACCATGACATGCAAACTGACACCTCTGTTTCTTTGCTTAAGATAAGGACCATTAAGAGCTACAGGAAGATTCCTACTAGAACCACAAAGAGTTCCTGACACTGAACGTAGCTCAAACACAGCCTTCAGGGCTGAGTGATCACGGGGCAAGTCCCACAGGTCAGCCTCAGAACACACTCATCTCAGCAAGGCCGGGGAATGGAGAGGGCCCCTCTGCGCAGGAACTGGGGCTTGGAGCCCGACTCGAAAACCGTGCTGGACAGTCTCATGAAGGCGCACGCTGGGGGCACATTCATGCTGCAGGAGCAGAGTGGCAGCTGCCTGCAGCGGATGCACCAGCATGGCCGCCTGCTCCCCACAGAGGAACTGCAGTCCTGCCTTTGAGGTGGGTGAGAAAGGGCGTCGGTGGAAGGCATGGTCCCCACGTAGCCGAGGTCTCCCAACTTGGCCAGAGGCCTCCAGCAGGGCCTCCGGCCAGCAGTCTGCCCGTCATCCCCAGCTCCACCCTGTCTGCTTAGCTGACCTTGGGCAGTAAGCTCCGTCTCAGCCCTAATCCCAGGTCTGTCACTGGACAGAAAATTGAGGATTTGGATCAGATATACCTCCGAGCTTCAGTCTCCCGAGTCAGCCTCCTTCCTGCCCCACCACTGAGCGTGGCCCAGCCCTGCCCCCAGCGTCAGACACGCAGGAGTTCATCCGCTGCTGAGGCCGCCGAGAGCCCCAGACTAGCAGGCTTCTTGCATCTGGCCAACAGCGACAGAAAGTTAGGAAGTGTTTGGACTGCTGACTGTCCTACAGATATTTGGAGCAGGAAATATTGTTTTTACCTAGAAGTACAACCTAAGAACAAGGTAGATGGGACACTGAAATTGCTTTGAGAAAACATCAAATGTCATGGTGCCGTGGGAACGGAGTCAGACTACCCCATCGCAGGGCATCAAGGTCGTGAACCGTGGGAAGGGCCGTCTGCAGACAGCCAAGGAAGGCCACTCCTGCCTAGGTGAGCATCTGTGAAGACACTGGAGCAGGCCAGAGCTCAAATGCCAGGCGTGGGCATCTTGGCGTCCCTCTGGCATGAGTCTGCAGGAGGACATCACACATTAACTACAAGTGCTTTAGACGGCAAGCGGTGGGGTGAGCAGCCTGCCCTGAGAGGGACCGTCGTCTCGTTCTATCGGGGGAGGGGAATGGGAGTGCCCACTAACACCTTCATTTTCCTTCTGAATCTACCATAAAGATCACTGCCTTCTCACCAGGACAGACCGTACCCCACACTGACTCTGTACTTCCGATTAGGAAAATCAAGGCGAATAAAGAAACAAAACACTGCACTGGTCAGAGCAAGGGCTGTCATGACCAGGTCCTGGGGCCGCTTCTGCCACTATTTTGCTCATTTAGACTCTCGAGCTCTAAGACTTCCTGTACCCCAGCAGAATGCCAACGTGAGACCTCTGTCCCTGTGACTATCTCAAGCCACCGTCATTCCTCCAGGCCCAATGGTGAAAACCCAAAACGGTCTCAGGTGTAAACTGAGACGGTCAAATTTCACTACAGAAAAGCAGCCCACAGGAGAACTGGCCGTATGTGAGGGCGGGCCATACTTGGGGAAAAGGGCAAATTTCTCCAGTGTGGGAAGGGAAGGTATGAAATGTGCTCACTGTTGGATGTCAGTGGGAACCTTCGGGGACTCCCAGTAAGGGAAACACTTAAAGGTCTCCAGTCCCGCCGCAACATAGAAATGGTTGTCTTGCAAATCCTTTGAGTTGCCCAAGAGTTGCCCACTCATTGTAAATAATCTGCAAATAAAAAAGAAGAAATGGGCGAGAGATTTTAGACCCATGATGCGGGGGGTGGGGGCATTTTTGTATGTAATATGCCTGGTATGTGGACTCAGGTGAACTGATGCCCTTGTGGGCAAGCGTGATCTAAATGCACTGAGTGAATCCTGTGGAAGCTGCTCTTTCAGGATTAGGCTTGCTTTCCATTTTTAGATTTTTTAATTAAAGTATATTTTTAATTATGTACAAGTGCTCAGAGGCTCTCAAGATCATGTTAAGTTCTTGGTTGGTGTTCAATTAATTTTAAGTAATAACAGCTAAAATTAATACAGATTGGCTTATATTGTTACAACAATACTTGGAAAACAAGGCTGCACTTATTAGCAAAGAATACGCCTTCTCTCTAAGTACCAAAAGACATATTTATCTTTTTATTCTGTACTCTTTTTTGGCAAGTGTTCATTCACTAATTCATTCAATTAAGAAATTATTTGATTCATTCAATGCTGAGCATCAGTAATGCACTAGATAATAAGGTAGGCGTCACCTGGGGTAAAAATACGAATAAGAAAGTCACTGCTTCCCAAAGTCAGGAAGTGGACCGACACCTATAAACACAGTACGACCAGAGAAGGGTGAAGTGCCGGCTTTCAGGAGAGGAAAAGTTAAACTCCCCGGGAGGTGAGGCGAAGGAAGGAGGACGTGCAGAGGGTGGGAAGTGGGTAGGACATCCTCCCGGGGATGAGGGATGAAGCCATCTGAGGCTGGCGGAGGAGCCTGCGCTGGCCAGAACCCGGTGGCTGGCTGTCACAGAGGGTGAAGTGCAGACACAGAACCTCGCACAATTCTGGAGCCTGGAACTCCAGGGTGAGGAGTTTGATTTGACAGGAGTGATTGGAGATTCCCGCTGAGCGATGGCAGGTTTCCACAGAGGAGTGGGATAGGAGCTGACCGCTGTGGACGGACCGGGAAAGAGGCTTTCACCCTGAGAGGAGGCCCAGAGGCCGTCGCCAGGGTGGAAGCAGGTCACGAACCAGCGCGGCGAGCTGCAGCGCAGGGAGAAGAACAGGCGCACATTGTGCGGGGAACGGCGAGTCCCCAGAATTTCCGCCCACTTCAGTCCTCCTCAAGCCCGGGCATGCATGGGGCCCGGGCAGGCCTGCTGGGGCGCAGATGCTGGGCCCTGCCCCCCGGCTTCTGGTTCGCTGAGTCTAGGGTGTTGCTCTGTGTCTAATGGTGCTCAGAGGTGGCAGCAGCCGCTCTTGGGCTTGTTTTGAGAACAGCTGCCTTAGGTCAACCCCAGGGGAGCCAGCGGACTTGCAGAGAAGAGACAGCAGCGAGAAGCCACGGCTGAGCCCATGCTGGGTGGGGGCACAGGCTTGCGGTGGGCTCTGAGCACTAAGGTTGGGTCTCTTCTCCTGCCATTGCCTTGTAACATCAGCGCCACCCCCACGGGAGAACCCAGCAGCTGGCCAAGCATCCCCGGGAGTGAGTCAGGGAAGCGCAGGTGCCCTCATCCTGTAAGGGGTGCAGGGGCTGACCAGTTGCAGTCTTAGGCAGAGACCCCACCCAAGCCACTGCCCCCGGAGCTGGCCCGCATGCTTGGAAGGGGGAGGGCTTGGCAGGTTCCTGCAGAAGCAGAAGTGTTGGGGCAGATGGACTGAGAATTTAACATAAACATGGAAAATATTATAGAGGAAACTAGGGGAGATATTATCACTAGGAAACTACAAGACAGCATAAAAAGAGAAAGAAGTAGAAATACTCTGAGTTGAACCTAGAATGGTGGAGACCAAGAATACAGAATGTGATGGATACAGATAGGATGCAAATCACCATGGGGACGATAAAACCGGGGACTCTCTACGAGGAGGCAGGGAGCAAGAAATGGGACATAAAAGAGAAGTTGAGAATTCAGTATGAGAAGCGCCAGCATCCAGGTAATAAGAATCTCAAAAAATGAAATGAGAAGAAACGTGTGTAGCAATAATGAAGATTGATTTCACAGAATTAAAGCGGAGGGCAGACCTCTCATGGAAAGTTAATAAATGTCAAAAAAAGAGAGCCCACGGGAAAAGTCACCTCTAGGCACATTTACGTGACATTAAAGAACACACCAAGCGTTCTGAAAGGTCCAGTGAGGAGCGCAGAGAGCATGCAAAGCAGCAGGACTCAGACACCGGGTTTTCACAGCGACACTGAAGGCGAAAAGACAACGAAGTGATGTTTTTGAAACCTGAAGGAAGAGAACTTGGGAGCTGGACGAACCCGCATCTGAAAGTGAAGGCTTGGCAAGGGTATCGTCAGCTCCCCAAGGCCTCAGAAGACCCACAACACAGACCCGTGCCAAGAGCATTCCGAGGGAGTGGGTAAGTAAGAGGGACAGGAAAGCCAGGAGACGCCACAGGCTGGGGCAGGGAAGGTGACAGACCCCTGGACACAGTGTGTGTCGTCATATAAGGAGATTCAGATCAAAGAACACGTATCCATAGTAACCCAAAATTCAAGCTGCAGGTCATAGCAACGTGATGGGTGATGTGGGGGAGACCGAGGAGCCTGCGCGTGCTCCGGTCCTGTCCAGGTGAGGCAGACACAGATGCAGGGTCAGGACCCACAAGGCGTCGGAGGGCGTGTGCGCTGCCGACACGAGTCCAGGCTAACGTCTGGGAGCCTCGGGAATGACAGTCACGCAGCAGAAACGAGGAAGATCAGAAGGGGCTTGGCGGGAGGGAGGCGGGGGCGAGAAATGAGCCGAACAGTGTGTGACCGGAAATGAATGGACCCTGAGGAGCTCCCCTGGGAAGTCCCCACACACACCGAAAGGTTTGCCTTCCAGCAACAGAGCCCGCCAGGACCAGCTGCGTCGTCATCCCTGCGTTTTGTTTGTAGGTATGTGGCAGGGATGCCTCGCTCAGCGATGAGACAAAGCAACCTTACTGTTCCTACTTTCCAAGTATCTCTTTGACTTCCAGGCTTTGTGCTTTTTCTAACCTTAATCATAAAGAAATTAAGTCCAGAGTTAAAAAAGGAATAAGCTTATTGATCCAATGTCCTATCTTCCCACTGACCATCTCATTTCCTTGCTTGCTTCTCCTGCCCTTCACGCCCCACTCACATAGACACACCCATTTTCACTGTTGGTGTGACAACCAGGGATTGCAAATTAACCTTTTCTGTTTTAATTTACCCCCGAGAGAGTTACTTGACCGAAAAGTGAAACAGGGGTGAATGTTCTTGCCCCTCCCCCTCCGCCCACCACAGGGAGTCACTGTCCGGAGGGACGGCACTTCTGCACCCAGCACCATTCCACGTCTCCTTACTTTTCAACTTAAAGATGTGTGTCTCTCTCAGGCTTTCCCAGCCCACTCCCACGGCAAGACGGGGCCTTGCCGCCACCACAAGTGTCCCCCCCCATGAGGCCTTGACCTTGGCATCTCCATCTCCCTCTGGTCCACTCTGACCCTCTGCTCTACACCAGGCCCCCGGGCTGAGACCAGTGAACTGCCCCTGGGTTCACTCTCACAGCCTGCTCTGTCTTCACCTGCCATACCTGCTTACATACCAAGCTTGTCCCCTGCCCGTCCTGGCTCCACCCCACCTGGGGACCATCCACCCATATGCCTTCTCTGTCTCATTCCAGAACGCTGAGCATCTGACAGCACCACGGGCCGCACTTTGGTGCCAAATCTCAGCAGTCAGTCTGCTCCAGCAGGCCCCACTGCTCGTCCCCCTCGCCAGCCTACCCCTCCCCTCTGCTCACGAGTGACACCCAAGTCCAGGTCCCACCACCTTCCACCTGCTCAGGACGCTGTTCCTCCGTGGCCACCCCTCCTCCCTACCCCTGTGGCTGTGTTCAGCACACCTGGAACAGGAGAGGCGCTCAGTGAACATTGTTGAATGAATAAATGGAAGAAACCAGTTAAAAATAAGTAACCTACAAAGACTGGGAAATATTGTCTGCCTCAAATAATTAAAATCAGAGTAAATGAGAATCACTTTAGACCTCGCTGGTCCAGGCAGGACATCCTCACAGAAAAGACCAAAAAGGAGCTGCCCTGCCCCAGGCCCCCCACGGGCGCCAGGCAGCCTTACTTCCGAACACCTCCGAG